CCACGCGGTCCACATACTCTCATCTTTGCAAATAAAGGCTTCAATTACATGGAAAAGAAGAAGATTATCAGTCGAAAAACCATAGKTCTTCCATGAATTGGAAACAACAAGACTACGAAACATTGTTGCAACATGTCAACATGTGCGTTTGGCTTGGCCTGTCCGCATTTCACTCCTATGATTCACAATTGTGATGCCATCCGTTGAAAGAGCTATGAGCAGTGCTGTTAATATTCAGTCAGTGGAAGCGCATTCCATAATCTTGGTGCGCAAACTGATAATTGTCCAGATTCGTATTTTTACATTTATCTGTTACGCCATGCCACCGATATCAACCATACTTACAAGCCATTCCATATTTATAGTGAATATCTCTGCCCCTCATATTATGTGGGAGTACTGTTCCATYAGGTAAAGTAAAATCATCCTCTGGATTTCCATTCCAAGTTCCAAGAAGACCTTTTGTCTTGTTCTTRAACGACTCTGGAGCAGCAGTGACGATGGAAAGTATGTTCTGTTTTTCGCATATTGTTACCGACATTCCTGAAGGGAAGCTCATCTCCAAGCATTGTTTCTYAGGCTTGGAGACCGTAACAGAACCGTTATCGAGATCTTGAGATTCATTGGTCAGGCTTTTGAAATTAAAAGGTTTTCCATCTACGAGGACTTCCATCGTTTCTGACAATAAAGGAATACATTACATACATCGTTAATTAAAAAAAAAAAAGAGATTGAGAAGAACTAAAATGAGAATGGCAATTTAAAAGCAAGAGCTAGATTTTCACAGGTTTTTACCATTATCATACGGCAAGGTAACTTGAACTGGAACAGAATTGTTCTCTTTGGCTACAGCTCCACTAAACACGGTAGCAGTGCCATTTCCTTTAGCAAGTCTCGTTCGGGCTTGTAGCTGAAAGTAACCATCTTTTGCATCCAGCATGACGTACTCTCCAAGACCGTTGAACGTGTAGTTCTTGCTGTCCAGTGTGACGAAGTGAGGGTCGCCCCAAAACCAACCTTGGAAACGAATCATAGTAGTTAGTTGGGATTAGTATTATTCATTTTCGTAGTGGGATTCCTGTATACAGAATAGAGGCGAAGGAGCTGGGAATTAGATCAACGCAACAAACCATTTGACCTTTTTCKAGTTCCAGATTACCGCTGTGTTCCTTGATTACATAATCATTTACTCAAGGCTAGCCTCGTACCAGTGTCTAAATATTAACAAATACCAATGGTAAGTAAAGAATGCACAGCTTCAACAATACAACCACTTTAAAATTCCACGGACCTTCACTGGAACAATTGAATATTCTGTACAAAGTCGAGGCTAACCCTGAGCAACAGAGAACTCAAAACTGGAGTATTCCTCTTGACGATCGGATTACCTGGTGTGCATGTTGCATACTGGGATGCCTGTGTACAGAAAGGAGGCGAAGGATCGGGAAATAAGATCCTRTTATAAAGAAACCAATTGCTCTTGACAATTTGATAACCCAGTGCGCATGTCACGATACCGTTAAGTGAATAAGAATGAAACTCAGACACCGTGTTTTAAAAAGGTTTCAACTATCTTGACACCACGTTTCGGACGTTAGTCCTTCGTCGGAGTAAAAGAGCAAACACTGTTACAGAATGACACCATTGCAATACTTTACTCACTCCATCTCGGAGGGATGTAACGTGAACACGTGTCTGATGGCCGTGCTTCTTGGTACATCCAGCACMTGTTACTTTTGATACAGCAGTTGTCATATGCCTGTTTATCATCATTCTGGTATTCAGTGGGGTACCTATGCTTATGAAACCTGAAATGGAAACAAACACGTTACAATGTTGAGTGGAGAAGAGAGGATCAGGGTTTGGGAGAAATGGCTTTAAATAAAAGAGGTGAGAGGGTGAAACAATAGAAAAAACTACAAGAAGGGAGAAAGAGGAAATATTTAAAACCGGGTTCATGCTGAGGTAACCACTTAAAATTCAAGGACTATTCAAGGAGTATACAAGGACCCATTAAAAAATGAATTTTCAAGGAGTATGTTCAGCTAACTATGCCAAGGTTTTACACGGTGGTTGCACATGGCCGACTTGCAGATTTCCAATCTATCTGACTAGATCTATTTCAGAACCATGCAAGTAATGATTAAAGCAAAAATTCAAGGAGTTTTCAAGGAGTTTCGCTAGAATCGTATAATTCAAGAGCTTTTCAGGTGCCCTTGAAAACGTGAATTAAATTCAAGGAGTTTTCAAGGAGTTTAAGGAGTA